TTTCTGTTATATAAATGTTATTTAAACCAGACAATAGGACTAGCTAATAGCAACTAGGGATAATTAATAGTAAGGCTAATTAAATATGTGTGAAAAAAATAAAACAATATTTTTATACTGTTTTTATCCTCAGATATAGAAATTTGTTTTTAACTTTTTAAAAGTCCTTATTGAATACTTAAGGTTTATAGGCTATTTATTTTATATTATTAAGATTAAACATAAGACTTCTAAAAAGGAAAACATAACTATTCACAATAGCAAAGACATGGAATCAACCTAAATACCCATCAATGATAGACTGGATAAAGAAAATGTGGCACATATAGATCATGGAATACTATGCAGCCATAAAAAGGAACGAGATCATGTCCTTTGCAGGGTCATGGATGGTATTGGAAGCCATTGTCCTCAGCAAACTAACGCAGGAGCAGAAAACCAAACACTGCATGTTCTCACTTATAAGTGGGACGTGAATGATGGGAACACATGGAAACATCGGGGGAATAACACACAATGGGGCCTGTCAGTGGGTGGAGGGTGGGAGAAAGGAAAACATCAGGAAGAATAGCTAATAGATGCTGGGCCGGCTTAATACTGAGATGATGGGATGATCAGTGCAGCAAACCACCATGACACATGTTTACCTGTGTAACAAACCTGCACATCCTGCACATGAACCCCTGAATTTAAAATAAAAGTTGGAAAAGAATAAAAAAAGGAAGCCAAAAAATTAAAAAGGAAAATGAAAATACAATAGGAATGATGAAATGGGTATTTCACATATTTGATTTTTAAAAAATGTCAGTTTCCTTCTGTTCCATGCTACAGTAAGATGCCTTTTATTCCTTCAGCTTCCTTTCCTAATAATATTTCTCTGAATTGCCTGTGGCATTTAGGACACTCATCTTTTCTTTTATGCAATGATAAAACTGAATCGAGATAACTATAACATTCACTTTGGCCTGCGGCTCTGCTCTTCTCAAGCCCACATTACATTGATTCCTAGTGTCAGTCTGATGTGATGACACAAGGCTAAATATCTTCTCAACAACACTGTGAGGGCATGGAGTACTTAGGCTTTTATTTACTAGCAACAGCAGATTTTTTTTTTTTTTTTTTTTTTTTTTTTTGAGACAGAGTCTCACTCTGTCACCCAGGCTGGAGTGCAGTGGCGCGAACTCCGCTCACTGCAAGCTCCTCCTCCCAGGTTCACGCCGTTCTCCTGCCTCAGCCTCCCGAGTAGCTGGGACTACAGGTGCCCACCACCATGCCTGGCTAACTTTTTGTATTTTTAGTAGAGACAGGGTTTCACTGTGTTAGCCAGGATGGTCTCGATCTCCTGATCTCGTGATCCACCCGCCTCGGCCTCCCAAAGTGCTGGGATTACAAGCGTGAGCCACCATGCCTGGCCAACAGCAGGTTTTTAGACTTGTAGGAATTAATTTCCACCTCTCCATACATGTCCATGCCCTGTATCTACGGGCTTGTTTCGGTAGGCCAGTTGTTCGTCAATCAGTTCTTTTGCTTCCATAAATTAATCACACAGGCTATCGATGTCTAAAATGTCTGTCATTCTAAAACACTTCAAAGCACATTGGATGTCATCATAAGGTAAGCCTCTTTTCTCTGGAAAAATGGTTTCAAAGCAGGGAGGTACTTTGAACTTGTGAAATTGAAGCTGGATTCCAAATAAGTTGCAGTTTTAGTAAAGAAATTGAGAAAATCCTGTTTAACTTGGCTGTCCTTTCCTAGTGATAATTTTTTAAGTTCCAAAGCAGTCTTATTTCCAAGGAATGAGTCATTTGTTCACTAGATGAGTTTTTGTCACAACCTACACCTAAATGGAACGAGTTAGATGCACTTAGTTCATCCTTTTCTGTAGCTTTTTTAAAGATTATGAAACAGTCTTGGAGAAACGGCATATACATTTCCATTTTACAGTAATCCTTTTCTCCGTTCTCATACTAAATGTATTTCCAAAGTAGTGAAGGACATTCTTCTCATCCTACACTTTGAAAATATGATTTTATAGTAGGCCAACATGCCAACATCTTTTCTACAAGACGTCTTGTAGGCATATGTCTAAGAAGGCTATCTCCTTCCACTTCCATAAAAATCAAAAATCTCATGAAGTACCTCTGCATGCTTTGAGGAAACTGAAAAGTAAACAAAAATGTCATTACGAAAGTGTCAATGTCACAGGTAGGCAAATCACACCTCTTTTTAGCAGTGTTATGTAAAAGGTACAGAGGGGTCAGGACGTTTAGCAGGAAATTTCTTAAATTTCCTTTGGTAAGTTTATAGACTGAATGGAATTTTCCAAAATTTACATTTGCACCATTTGCAAATATGCAGATAGATGAGTAAGTCTAGTTTGCATTTGAACACAATATCAACAATCTTTTGTTTTATGTATTCTGTGATTTCATCACAATCTTCATTGAAGTCAGGAAAACAACTTGAAACTCCCTTTTCCAAATAAAAAATACCTAAGAGACAGGGAGAACATGTTTTTGTTGCCGTGATTCCACATATTGCTTGATAGAGTTTAGAATGCATGCTTGTTGGAGTAGTTCTCAGAATCAGTTCTATACCATAAAGGGTCAACCCATCTGTTATCAAAATTTCCCCTTTTGTTCCCACTTGGGCCATTTCAGTTGCAACTTCTGAATCAGGAAATGTAACTTCACTCAGTTTCATACAGCTTCAAGGAAAAAAATATGATAATGAGAGTTTGTTTGTGTGATAAGCCCAGGTGAATTCAGTGGCTGCTATTTTCAACTGGGCATTAATGTCTTTTTGGAAGATGAGAAAACTTGAAAGATTGATTGATTGATTTAGAAGTACCTGTCCCCTCCCAGACTGGTGAGATTCAGATCCATACGAGTGAACAGCTCTCCCCTACCTCAGGCAGGGCTGCTGCACACAACCCAGGAGGTACTCCCTGCACTGCAAGGACAACAGAAGAGCATCTCTGGGGACAAAGCAAGAGCATGTCACCTCCCCAAACTAGAGCCAGTTTTCAGGGTGACTTTTCTAGACTAATGCACAGCTGTTCAACTGTGTAGATGGAAAGGTGGGAGGTGATGCTGTAATCATTGTAACTGCTTCTGGGCCTGACACATGATGGAGAGAAGTGGGGGAGCGCTCTGCACTGTGAGTGATCTGAGGATTTCACTAACATAACATCCTCAATTCTCTGCCTTAGGCAGGGAGGCAGGGAGGGTGAGCAGGTGCAGATCCTCGGGTGCGGCCAGCATTCAAGCAAGAGGGAGCACGTTGCGTGTGCAGGTTGGATGCATCTTTGTCATCAGTCATCCAGGAGAAGGACAGTGCTCCAGTCAGCACCCCAGGAACAAACAGGTGCTCTGTCGAACTAAGAAGGACCAGGCAGAGGTCAACTGGTTGTAAGAGATTCCCAGGAAAGACAGAGGGCTAGGCTACTGGGTCACGGGTTAGCCAGCAATAAGGCCAGTGGGAGGAGATAAGTGACTCTCGGCCTGCAGCCTGAGCACCAAAGAGCATACAAAGCGGAGGGAAAATGTCTTTTATTGTTGGATAATTACCTTGTTTCTAGCTCGTTGCTATTACAAACAGAGGACAAGGAATAATCAGCTGAAAATGGATTCAAATGATATTTTTAGGTAAAGAGAAAAAGAAAAATCCATCAAAATTAAGAAGTCAGACCATTAAAATGCTTAAAGATGCATAAATGTTTGCAAAACCTCTCTATGGGGAAGAAATTAATCAGATGGGGGAAACCAGTGATTGGGGATGTTCAGTGCTGGGGACATTCATGTGCGCCCAGATTGCTTTGGATGAGTCTATTTTTTGCCACAGTGAGATGTTGGTTCTGTTGGGCAATGTCGTTTTCCCATGCCTCTCAGAGTGACAGATTCCAGAAAGCTGGCAGAGATGCAGGGTTTGTCAGAGGACAGACATGAGATCCAGAAATAGGCCAGAGCCAGTCGAGAATGATGAAAAGATAAACAAGGCCCAGCAAAGCTGCGGGGGATGGGGACCAGCCTTAGCAGCAGTGTCAGGGAAAGGGTGAACAGATTTTAGTAGACTCAGCTTCCTCAAGAGCAGCTGCAACCCGCAGATCAACTTCCTGCCTCAGCAATAGGGTGGGCCAGGCTGCTGTAGAGACACATCCAGTTGCAAGCTGGAGAAAGTAAATATGGAGAGAGCAAGGCAAGGGCTAGCAGAGAGCTCAAGCAACTAGCAATCATTTGTGCATTTCCAACCCGTTATTTGAGCTTCTTGTGACACTGTCATAGTTAACCATGTGAACACAATTACTGCCACCCAGTCACCAACTCCTGCAGGAGCAAGGACTTTTAGAGATCTGCTTCTAAATGATGTAACTGTCTCGGAAAAGTAACTTAACTGTTCCCACTCTGTGACTGCATTCATTTCCATGGCAGCACCATGTGTTTCCAGAATCCCTGGCAGCTGCTATAGCTGTGAACGGGGAGAGCATAGCTCCTGGAGCAAGCAGAGGCCAGACACCAGCTCTCCCAGCTTCCTTCTCTGTCTCCTGAGTTCAGCATCTGTTCGTTCTTTCATTCATTCATTCATTCATTCATTCATAAGGCACATATGAAGTACCCACTATGCCTCAAGCACAGTCTAAGTTCTAGGGAAGAAAGGTGAATGAGCTCTATTCCTGACTGCAGTCAGGTTTCTGATATTGACTAAGTTTTCATCCCCAGAAAATGGTGACTGTATTTTGTCAAATAAAAACAAATCCAGAATTAGAGAGGGAGGGAGAGGCTTTAATTAGAAAGACGATTGCAATATGGAGAAAGCTCCCATCTCAGAAATCTGTGAGTGTTTCAAAATCAAACAGAAATAAGTTTTTCTTTCACAGGGTAATGAGAGGACAAGCAGAGGTAGGCAAACGTTTGTAAGGGGAGCTGGGCACACAAGGGGTGGGGTCTGGCGAAAATGTGCCTAGCTGATTCCCAGGAGGAGCTGATAAGGGGTCACAATCCATTTTCTGTTACACTTGCTCAGGCTTGGAGGAAAGCAGACCTCAGAAGCCTGGAGGAAAGAGAGAAGCTGCCTAAACCTTGGCCAAGCCAGAGCAGAGGGTAAGAAACAGGCCACTGTGGACACCTGGTCAATCTCCAGCAACCGATGCTTTCGATGAGTGTCAGATGGGCGGCTGATGAGCACCGGGCCTTGGCTGATGAGCTGCATTCCTCAGCCATTCTCCAATAACCATCCGCTCACACGTCTACACACAGACAGACCCACAGGGCTCCTTTCCTGTGGTGATTTTGATTGCTTACTCTATATTTTATCATTTTCTAGGCCACAAACAGTAGCTTCCTTCTGATGGGAAAAATTCAACCTAATTAAACCCAAAGCACACCCAATCGCCAAAGAAAGATGAAGCAGATATATTCCTTTGTTTCTTGAATAGAAAAGCCAGAAGAATAGAAATAGGATTTATAACTTCCTGACTGTAAGAGGAAAAATACCATAAATAAAACCTGACCTATCTAACAAAGGGCACAAAAGGGGGTGGGAGGCAAAAAATCATGGCAGATAGAAAACTCAAAGTGTTAGGAATCAACCCAGACATATCATTAAGCATAAGAAATTGTGAATAAGTTGTCATAAATTAAAGGAAAGACACTCAGATTGGGTTTTTGAAAATCCAGTTAGATGATTTACAAGTGTTCAGTTGTCTACTGCTATATGACAAACCACTCTAAAACTTAGTGGTTTAAGATGAAAATGATTGATCATTTTTCACAGTCTTGCAGGCTGGTATCTGTGTGGTTCTTCTGCTGATCTTGCTGGAATCACTCATGTGGCTGCTGTCAGCTGACAGCTCAGTCAGAGCTGGAGACTCCAGGATGTCCCCCGTGCCTGTCTGGGGGTCGGTAATGGTCTTTACTGGGGCGCCTCAGTTCCCTTCCATGCGGTAGTTGTCCTATTGTAAAAATGGTCATTTAGGAATACTTCCACTGCCCACTGGGCTGACTCACGGGCATTGTGACATGAAAGGTCAGGGTCAAATGTTTATCACAATATGAACTTGGGCTGGGCATGGTGGCTCACATCTATAATCCCAGCACTTTGGGAGGCCAAGGTGGGAGGATCACTTGAGGCCAGGCTTTAGAGACCAGCCTGGACAACATAGTAAGACCTCATCTCTACAAAAAATACAAAAGTTAGGTAGGCATGGTGGCATGTGCCTATAGTCCTAGCTACTTGGAAGGCTGAGGCAGGAGGATTGCTTGAGACCGGGAGGTCGAGGCTGCAGTCAGCTGTGTTCATGCCACTGTACTCCAGCCAGGGCAACAAAGCAAGACCTTGTCTCAAAAACAAAACAAAACAAAAATGAACTTGTTCTAAGGCATTTGGCAATGAAGCAGCTGGGTAGTAGAGAAAAAACAAATTTTGAGATGTATAGAGCCAAAAAGCTTGGCTGGGGAAAACTCTTCCCGTTAGATACAGAAATTTGTGAGGACAGTACTCAGTTCTCATTAAAGTTTGGTCACAGCCAGCAGTCTCTCCTGTCCAGAATATATTCAACATTGCAAAATTGACCAACACTTTCAAAATTCTAAGGGAAAATAATTTCAAACCTAGAATTTTATGTCCAGCAAAACTATTAATTAATTGTCAGGGCACATTTTCTTTTATTATTTTTGAATGAGAATCATATGAAATTGAATTTATCAGAATCCCTACATCTGTGGGACACAAAACTGCAATAGTATTATAACTTCAAGATCACCGATAATAAAAAACAAATTTTGATCAAACATGCTGAAGAAAAGACTGAATTGTCTTTTTATTCTTCTCTCTGGAAATTATTACAAACCATTACCATTAAGAAGCACAGTGGCTTTGTACTATGTTAATTTGGCTAGGCCGAACTGTTTTTCAGAATTCCCTTTCTGGAATGTTTCCAAGTAGGCTGGCCACAAGATTTTTTTTTTTTTTTTTTTTTTTAGCTGGAGTCTGATCCTGTCGCTCAGGCTGGAGTGCAGGGCTTGATCTTGGCCCACTGCAACCTCTGCCTTCCAAGTTTGAGCAATTCTCGTGCTTCACCCTCCTGAGTAGCTGGGACCACAGGTGCGCATCACCACACCTGGCTAATTTTTGTATTTTTAGCAGAGTTGGGGTTTCGCCATGTTGGCCAGGCTGGTCTCAAACTCCTGACCTTAAGCAATCTGCCCTCCTCGGCCTCCCAAGGTGCCAGAATTACAGGCGTGAGCCACCGTGCGCAGCCACAGAGACATTTTTGAAGGTGATTTGGAGGGTGGAAGAGAGGCAGCAGCCATTTAGTTGCTTACCTGCTGGCTGACCTCCTGGGCATGGGGCAGCAGCCGGGCTTGTACATCCTCCAACTTCTCCTGATCCTCTTTCAGTTTCTCTGACTCCTGGCCCAGGTGTGTGTTTAGCTCTGCGAGGCAGGGCACCTGCTTCTCCCACAAGACACTCACATCATCAAGGTTGGAGACAGTTCTGCTCTGTCCTTATAGGTTCCACCTCATGTTCTTGGACTCTAGCTTGTTCTTGCTCTCCATGGAGTTTTATTTCCATCTTCCTTTCCACCCTGCCTGCCCTGCAGACTTCAAACTCCAGCATCAGATACAAAGTAACAGCCTTACAAAGCATGCTTAGTCAGCTTCCACAATTGTGTAAGGTTGAAGCCCTATAACAAATCCATTGAGAGATAGAGAGAGAGAGAGAGAGAGAGAGAGAGAGAGAGAGAGAGAGAAAAACATATCCTTCTAGGAGAATCTGCTTCTGCTTTTGATTGAAGGCCAGCTGATACAAAGGTCTTCAGAGCTACAACTAAAAGTTCAGGAGAAAATTACTATAAAGCAATGTCATGCAGTTTAATGTTAGACTACTTTCCTGGATTTTGTGGTTTGTGGTAATTGTCACCATTTTCAAAAACTGCAATTTGCTGTGATTTCTTTTCTCACATTTCTTTGATGTCTAATTTTCCACTTGTTCTTCTGTATAATTGCATAATTTTAGGCCTCAGGATGAGGATCCTCTCCTGCTTCTCTAGAGAATGTGCTCCATCAAAAAGAGAGAATAAACCAAGAAGGGGAAGACAGAGGATCCAGAATCAGGGATGATGGTGCACGGAAGTCCGAAGATGACAGCTGTGCATCAGGCCTTCAACAACCAGAATGGGAGCAGAAGGATGGGGGGCTCTGGGAGTGTCTCCAAGAAAGAAAGAGAAACTGATCAAATAGATAATTTTTAAAATATATTGAGAGGAAAATACTTCTGCAATAAATTTTGGGATATCGTAATAGAAACTAAGAAAATAAACACATGAAAAAAACAAACAAACAAAAAAACCAAGGTAATTATCAACCCCAGGGAGAACAAAGGTTGTATGAGAAAAGAAATAAAAACAGAATTCAATACATGGATCAGCTGTGAACTGTTTGCGTAATTGTTACAATGTAAACATTGGAACAATCATGTCAGCAAAAGTTGCAATTTAACCATATTGGAAGGATGAAAGGAGAGTTGAGTGTATGTGTGTCTTTGTGAGAGAACTAATTTATTCACCCTCCATAGGAAGTCAATAGGTAATACAAAAAATTGAAAAAATAACATGAAAGCATGCTATTTTTGAATATGGTAGGAAATAGCAGAAAAAACTGAAAATGTTGAAAGTGGAAGGGAAAGCACTAGGAACTGGAATCGGGGATAAAGTATGGGACTGTTTTCTTATTATAAACCTTAGAGAGTTATTAATTAAAACGAATTCTAACACTAGAAAAATATATTAGAAATATATTTTTAAAAAGAAACTGGGAGTGAGAATATTAATATTAGAAAAATAAATTCAGGGCCAGGTGTGGTGGCTTAGGCCTGTAATCCCAGCACTTTGGGAGACTGAGGCGGGAGGATCACTTGAGTCCAAGACCATCCTGGGCAACATGGTGAAACCTCATCTCTACAAAAACCACAACAAAATTTAGCCAGGCATGGTGGTGCATGTCTGTAGTCCTAACTACTTGAGAGGTTGAGGCAGGAGGATCAAATGAGCCTGGAGGGCAGAGGTTGTAGTGAACAGAGATTGTGCAACTGCACTCCAGCCTGGGTGACAGAGTGAGACCCTGTTTCAAAAAAAAAAAAAAAGAAAAAAGAGAAAGAAAGGAAGGAAAAAAGAGAAAGTCAATGCAGAACACAATAAAAAGAACAAGAACAAGGAGGCTACTCATATTAAAAGATAGGATAGTTCACCAAGAAGATACAATAGGCACAAACATTCATGCATCTACTATTGCAGCTTTGACAGAAATATAAAGAGAAAACAAATCTACAATCAAAGTAGGAGATTTCTAATACACCTCTCAGAAGTCCACAGGTCAGATAGAAAATAAGTAAGCATGTGAATGGTTTGATAAAAATTAAGTATATTCATCTTAAAAGTAATATAAAATATCTTACCCAATAATTGGAAAATACATATTCTCTTCAAGCACACATAAAATTTTCAGAAAAAATTAAACACGTACTAGCTCACAAAAGAAATCAATAAAACTCAAAAAACTGAAGTCGTGCACGACACCTTCACAAACCACATGTAATAAAATTAGGGCTTAAAAAAAAAATAAAGAAGAAGAATAGGCCAGGCACGGTGGCTCACGCCTGTAATCCCAGCACTTTGGGAGGTTGAGGAGGGTAGATCGTGAGGTCAGGAGATCGAGACCAGTCTGGCCAACAGAGTGAAACCCCGTCTCTACTAGAAATACAAAAATTAGCTGGTCATGGTGGCACGCTCCTGTACTACTCCCAGCTACTTGGGGGGCTGAGGCAGAAGAATTGCTTGAACCCAGGAGGTGGAGGTTGCAGTGAGCCAAAATCATGCCACTGCACTCCAGCCTGAGCAACAGAGCGAGGCTCCATCAAAAAACAACAAAAACAAAAACAAAAACAAAACAAAAAAGAATAGTCAAATAAAACAACAGCAACAGCAACCACAAAATGATCCTGAAAAGTTTTAAATACATATATAAAATATTCTTGGGTTAAAGAGAAAATTCAGACAAGAATTACAAACTTTTTATTGTGGTGAAATACACATAGCATGACATCTTCACGACTTTTAAGTGTACAGTTCAGTGGCATTACGTTCATTCATATTGTAGTGTAATCATCCATCCATCCATCTCCAGAACTTTTTCATCATTGCATACTGAGATGCAGACTTTTACAAGAACGCTTAAAACATTACATAGTAAAACTTGCAGTATTTATCCAAAACAATATGCAGAGTATCTATAACCAATGAATTCACTCAAAAGCAATAAATGTTTAAAAAATTAACTAAGATCTCAACTCAAAAAGCTAGAAAAAAGGAAAATAGATAAATCCAAAGAAAGTAGAAAGAAAAATACTGGTAAAGATAAAAATCAGAAATTAATGAACTAGACTGGATGAAGTGGCTCACACCTATAATCCCAGCACTTTGGGAGGCTGAGGTGATTGGATAAATTGAGGTTAGGAGTTCAAGACAAGCCTGGCCAACAGGGTAAAACCTCATCTCTACTAAAAACACAAAAATTAACTGGATGTAGAGGTGCACACCTGTAATCCTAGGTACTTGGGAGGCTGAGTGAGGCAGGAGAATCATTTGAACCTGGGAGGCAGAGGTTGCAGTGAGCCGCGATTGTGCCACTGCACTCCAGCCTGGGTGACAGAGCAAGACTCGTCTCAAAAAAAAAAAAAAAAAAAAAAAAAAAAAAAAAAAAAAAATTAATGAACTAGACATAAAAAGATATAGAGTTGATTAACAAAAATAAAAGCTAGGTGTTTTTTGAAAAGACCACAGCTTGGGAATCCTAACAGAAAAAAAGAGAGGAGACATAAATAACAACATTAGAAGTGAAAATGAGGACATGATCATGTGAAAAAATAAAAATAAGGACTGGTTATAAAAATAACATTTAAAACATCTAGCTTGGTGTGGTGCCTCTCACTTGTAATGCCAGCCCTTTGGGAGGCCAAAGTGGGAGGATCACTTGAGCCCAGGAGTTCGAGACCAGTCTGGTCTCAACATAGTGAGATCTTGCGTCTAATAAAATAAAATAAAATGAAATAATTCTACCTGGAGAATCCAAAGGAAAATACTACAATTTCTTACAATCATTAGCTTGTTCAGCAAGGTTGCAGTATATAAGATCAACACAAAAATTATCACTTTTTATATACTAATAATGAACACCCCCAAAGAAGTTGGGACATAAATTTTTTTTTTTTTTTTTTTTTTTTGAGACGGAGTCTCACTCTCCCAGGCTGGAGTGCAGTTGCGCGATCTCAGCTCACTGCAAGCTCCGCCTCTCGGGTTCACGCCATTCTCCTGCCTCAGCCTCCTGAGTAGCTGGGATTACAGGCACCACGCCCGGCCAATTTTTTTTGTATTTTTAGTAGAGACGGGGTTTCACCGTGTTAGCCAGGCTGGTCTCGATCTCCTGACCTCATGATCCACCTGCCTCGGCCTTCTAAAGTGCTGGGATGACAGGCGTGAGCCACCATACCCAGCCAAACATAACAAAATTTGTACAGGATCTGCAAGCTGAAAATTACAAAATGGTGATTTAAAAAGTCAAAGACAACCTAAAGAAGTAGAGAGACAATATCATGTGTTCATGGATTAAAAGGTTCAACATTGTAAATATGTTTATGGGTTTAACGCAATTTATATCAAAATCTCAGCAATGTCTTTGTCTTTCCTTTGTAAACACAGATTTGTTTATTCTAAAATTTATATGGAAAGACATAGCCCCTAGAATAACTAAAACAATCTTACAAAAAAAAAAAAAAATCTAAAATGGGCGGAACCACTCTACCTGATATTAAGTCCTACTATGTGGTTACAATAATCAACACAGTGTGTTATTGGTGGAGGCACAGATACAAAAATCAATGGAATTGAATAGAGAACCCAGAAATAGACCCACCCAAATATTTCCAATTGATTTTTTAACGAAGGTGCAATAGCAGTTCAACAAAGGAAGGATAGTCTTAACAAATGGTGCTGGAAAGACTGGACATCCACAGACAATGGGTTCTCCATCTAAACCTCACACCTTATACAAACATTAACTGAAAAAGTATAACTTGCAACTATAAAACTTTTAGACAAAAACATCGGGGAAAATCTCTAGGATCTAGAACTAGGCTAAGAGTTCTTAGACTTGACATCAAATGTATGATCCATAAAAGGAAAACTTGATAAATTTGACGTCATCAAAAAGTTTTTAAAAGTCTTCCTCTGTGAAAGACCCTGCTAAGAGGATGAAAATACAGGCTACAGAATGGAAGAAAATATTTGCAAATCACATATCCAGCAAAGGACTAGTATCTAGAATGAATAAAGAACTCTCGGCCAGGCACGGTGGCTCAAGCCGGTAAAGTATGGCGCAAACCCGGGAGGCGGAGCTTACAGTGACCTGAGATCCGGCCACTGCACTCCAGCCTGGGCGACAGAGCGAGACTCCATCTCAAAAAAAAAAAAAAAAAAAAAAAAAAGGACTCTCGGCCACGCACAGTGGCTCATGCCTGTAATTCCAGCACTCTGTGGGGGCTGAGGCAGGCAGATCACCTGAGGTCAGGAGTTTGAGATCAGTCCAACCAATATGGTGAGACCCCATCTCTACTAAAAATACAAAATTAGCCAGGTGTGGTGGCGTGCACCTGTAATCCCAGCTACTCGGGAAGCTGAGGCAGGAGAATTGCTTGAACCTGGGAGGTGGAGGTTGCAGTGAGCCAAGATCGTGCCATTGCACTCCAGCCTGGGCAACGAGAGTGAAAAAAAAAAAAGAAGAAGAATATATAAAGAACTCTCTAGTATCTAGAATACATAAAGAACTCTCAAAAATCAACAGTAAAAAAAAAATCCCCCAAACCTGAGAATATGTTAGATTACATGGCAAAAGGGAATTCAGGCTTCAGACAGAATTAAAGTTGTTATTCAGCTGGCTTTAAAATGGGGAAATTACCCTGGCTTATCTGGGTGAACTCATTGTGATCACCAAGATCCTTAAAAGTGGAAGAGAGACACAGCAAAGAGAGTCAGACAAACAGATGTAATGACAGAAGCCAAGTCTGGAGTGCAAGGGGAAAAACAATGCATACATATATGGTCACCTCACTGATGACAAAGGTGCTAAGGTCTTACTTATAGTGGGGGAAAAGATAATCTTTTCAATAAAAGGTGTTAGGTCAATTGAATATCCACATGGGAAAAAAATGAATCTTGACCCCATCTCACTCCTTATACAAAGTAACTTCCACATGCTTTGTAGATCTAAATAAAAAAGGTAAAATAATAATGTTTTTACAAGAAATCATAGGAGAATATTTTCATCATCTTGGGGTGGGCAAAGATTTCTTAAATATAGTCCCAAAGAG